TACAATTACACACTTATGCCACAATTCAATTTAGAATCTATTGTGTTCCCGCCTATAATTGAAGAACATAAAAAGTGGCAACTATATGTACCACCTTCTTTAACATTAAATAATTCTGTATTTTTTATTCATGGATTCGTATGGTTCCCAGAATAAACAGCGATTATTTCATTTAACTGCTTCAACAAGTCGATCTTTGTGATGTAGAAGTCTTGTTTTCTTTGAGGTACGGCCTACTTAGACGAGCTTCTATTCAAAAGGTTTAAGGGTGTTTTGAGAACAAGGTGTTGAAGAGAATATTTTAACCTATGAGGAGGGAAGTTTGAAGAAAAGTGTAATGGGGAACTTACGTACGCGGACGACACAAAACCTATCGACCAGCGGATTGAGAAACCCCCGTTCAAACCTTACCTTCAAGTTTGTGAGGTGAGTCATTGTGGAAACGACCTCATGCTAAATTGCTAGTGAAAAAGCTGCTGTTCTTAAAGCGTACCATATGAATCCGTACGATACAGCCACTTTAACACAATCCACCTTTACAACTTATCTTTAAATGGTATAACTTAACAGTTATAACGCCTTACAGGTCGATAAATTAGTCTCATTAACAGATGTTAAACAGGACTGGGTTGAATGAACCCATCATGTTACTGTTAATTACCTAGACGTAGTCACAGGTAAGAAAGCAAATTTTCGCAATGCTAATTAACTATTATGTAGGGGAACCCAGGACAGAACGGGGACCTTGTGTGGATTTATTGTCTATTTGAAATTTATAATGAGTTATTAGTTTAGTTGTAAGAGTTACAGTTTCTTTAAATATTAATTTCTTTACAAAAATGTAACTTGTCTCATTTTGACAGGGTATGGTTGATATATGTTTGAAAAAATTGTAAGAATACACAGATTATATAACAATTATAACGCAGGATATAAAAATTATAAAGTACACGATGTAAAATGTCGAAACTTTACACATTAGAAAACTAGTTAGGCCTAACACAGACGGCACACACGTGCACCTGTTCATCACCGTGACTACCAACACCTGCACATGAGTTATGGGCCCATTTCAAGCAAGACGAATACCGGATCCACCCTTCAATAGACATCGCCACATTACAGGCACTCGTCCGTCACCTTGATCCTCTTCGGGGCAAAACTGCGTACCCCATCCTGCCCCGAGTATACTCTTTCCAAGAAACGGAAGCATGCACACCTTATTAACGTAACTCGTTGAGATTTCAGGTTCTTACGGCCGTCGAGTATGAAGATGTTCTCTGTTCTGTGACGTTGCGTAAAAAACAAAAACAACTTCAAACCTCCGCATTCCTGTAAATGTCTTACTTCATGTACAAAACACGTTAAATGACTATTGAATCTCGTACGCAATTAATTTAATGACTAGCAAATAGTTGCTTTACTTTACACTCTTAAAAGACGGGCAAAGCATTCAAGTCACACCATCTTGTACATTCATAAAAAAAATATGGAACATGGCCGAAGTCCAATCGTTTGAATTTCGAAGTATTAACAATCTGAAAATTCAGCACGTGTTAAGTAAACGATGTAAAAGGCGCCTTATACCATTATAACAATCAGCTGATCGAATTCCACGTCAATTGTCCACAGAGCAGATCCAAACACGCACGAAAATACCTCCTCTCGCGTGTCCAGGAAGAGAAATAAAAGCCGATATGGAATTTTGCCACAACATCGCTATCTGAATTAGAAAGAGGCTTGTACTTCTAATAATAATCCGTTTAAATCCGTACCACTGCCAAAAGTGTAGAGGAAGATAAATGCCCTCATCGCAAGTTCACGTGCCAATTTTCTTTGTTTACAAAATACCACAATGTTTAGCAAACAATTTGTTTATAAATAAAATCATACATTTTTCGTTAATTTAGCGATATTATTTTGGGACCCTTGTTCGGAATTTCCTTTAATTTTAAAATTACTGTTACTGTTCTAATGGGGTGAGATATGTCTTTGTGGAACTGGGTCTATAACGAGACCTTTGTTCACCCCTAGATGATACAGGAGTGACAACGGACAGCGCTGGAGGGCTGGTGACAGGGTAAAAGCAAAGAACTTGGGGGAAAAACCTGTCACAGTGTCACATTATCCACAACAAATTTAAATATAGTTGTCATAGCTACTTGCATGTTTTCTATTTGGTTTATCGCAGGAATCAATTCTACAGGCGTGCTTTTACAGCAAGCGATTAAACCTCTGAAACTCTGTGGTAACTATACGTACCACCAGCTTTACGATCAGTAACACTGTACTATGCGCACAGTTTATTTTATTTTTTGAATGATTCTCAGAATAAATAACTACTATCTGACTAATCAGTGTTGACCAACTGATTTTGTCATGGCGAAGTGTTGCGTTTTAATTACGGCAACTAAATTTCTGAGGATTAATTCACACGTCTCAGCAGAAAATTAACAACTCCAAAACACGACAAAAGATTACTCTACAGTACATACAACCATTTGCATCAGATGTACTCACTGGATTGCCAGACGAAGTCCTTCCATTCTTCCTAAGCGAAATTAAAACACAAGGAATACAATGCCACTAACGAGAAATGTCCAACGTTAATCACGAACTTAACGTTAAGCACAAACTCAGTTGGCGAAGCCACGTTGTGGCAAGCAGATCAGAACAAACACATGTCGATTCGTCAATCGGACTATTTCTGTATTCAATATATATTACTTTGTAAACATTAAGAGGTAATCCACACTCCTGATACGCTAGAAATGCGACATTTAAACACCTTCACGAACAATTAAATAAAAATTCGTGCGTTCCGTTCTATTTTATCACTTGTTCTCGATACGAGATGCTCTGTAGGCAAACCACACAGACCGTCTGTCTACTAGCAAACAGCTGACCACCAACCGCGCTGCTTGCCAGAATAGCAAACTTAACAACAACGAATTACACTAAACCAATAACAACATAAAACTACCAGTATTAGATGAAGCTTTTCTCGGGCGCGGCTTGTAACCCGATAATCTTTCATAAAACTACCAGGTCTGAAGTAGCTGGTTTACATGGTTGCCACCTACTGTCATTTTTCCTACTAACTTGCCTGCTGTAGTGTCAACTATGACACCTTTCACCAGTTTTTCGTCGGCTACATGTAAACCTGCTCCAAGTCACACGAGTATTGGTTTTCACTGGCCCGTTGGAAAATAAAGGTAATGATACAATTTCAATGATTACTGATAGTTCTGCAAGCGATATACGAGTTTCATTGGCATGTTGGAAATACTTATTATAGTTCCTTAATGTGTTGCAGATAAACAGCATATTGCCGTACCATTCTAAAATCGTAGGCAAAGTACTAATCTAACCTAATAAAAATTAAAGTACTACCATATTTCCTCGATTTTAAGATGCGCTTTTTTCACATTTTAAAATTCATGAAATCGGGGTGCGTTTTACATTTTATGGCGTTTAAGAATCGATATAGCATAACTCCTTTCTTTTTCCAGAAAACCTATTACTAAACCAAGTGAGCGTCTTACAATCTATAGCATATTGGAATCGAAAAATACGGTATATCAGAACAAAAAGCCGGATAACAAACGCAACCTTGCAACAAAAAAAAAAGCACTAAGGTAATCTAATTAAAAGTAAACGCGCTGAATATAAATTTGTCTTAATTTTCAAAGTCCGTGCAAGTCGGTGTGATCGAGTTCACATATACACGGTTCGTTCCAAGGGAACAGCCAGATAAAAGAAATTGCCGTGATCATTTCTGTGAAAACAAATAATGTACTAATTAAAACATGCCTTCAATTTTAACACATTATATCATGTGACACTTAAGAGACGAGACAGACGCAACACTTGAAATCTCACGTAGTGCACGTGTGTGAGTCGGCCATAATGTAAGACGGTACAGAGTGTGACTCTCGGATGGCAAATCATATAAAATTTTCTTTGAGTTCAGACAGTAGATAACGGACGGAAACAGTATTTTTCTGTAATAGTTGTCATTACTGTGGTGTGTCTCAAATATAAAGAAGTTTATAAATGGACGACTCTATACAATATTAGGGTTTAAAAAAATCACTGGCACATATATTCAAGAAGACCAATGTCTGGCAGTTAGGGGTCAGTTTTTCACATGGAACAGACTGTATTTAGCGAAGATTAAAAACAACCAGAACGTTCGGAAACACTGCTTCGCAAAGAGTTTTAAATATCACCACATTTTTAGCAAATTTCGAACCAGACCCTGTGACACGACATGTCAGTTGTACGTCAGACGGTCAATGCTAAGTCTGATCATTATAACAAAGTGCTGTTGTATTTGAACTCTGACCCCGGCTATTTATCGAGAAAATCCACGTCATCAGCATAACCTCAGATAATTTAATAACCAACAGATGTCTCACCTTGCATTTAAACATCGCTGTCAATACAGACGATTTAAAAAGGAATTTTAAATTAGAACAACATTCGAGAGCCTCAACGTTACACCTTACAAAAATTTGCTGAGATCAACTTATTATTACCAAGACGTGCACACATATTATTCAGCTTTTTTTAAAAACAAAATCAGCCATTAGTGTGATATTTGTCACTACGTTTACTTGTGTAAAATCTTTCAGTACGCAGCCTCCATCATCAGGGCGATGATGGAGGCAACAAGCACTTCTGAAACGTCGGAAAAATTCTACCAGACTACACGGTGCAACATCCCAAAAACACAGTAATATTCAAATTCGGGTTTATTAAATAAAAACAAAATATAAACATGTGCCCCAAAAAGTTTTAAATTGCTAGTATATCAACAGAAAGTATCACCTACGTCAAAATTTATATGACCGCAGAAGCCATGGGCATAATTTGGTCACTGCATTTTAAAGATACAGGCCTACCAAAATCAAAATGCTACTACCGTTCTGTTTCTTTCGACATAATAAATAATAACAAAAAGATAACACAAAGAAATCACACGACACAATACTTACAGGTATGAACAGCAACTCATTTAGATATTTGACAGTTTCAAAACCCTTTCTCATAAGGGTTGCACAGTTCAGTTATAAAACGTTAGTTCAATGTCGAATCATGAAGTTAGCACTTTAATATATAAATTCGAATAATTCTGAAAATCAGCAATTTCACAATTCTCACTTTTAAAGTTACACCTTCAGCAAATAATTGTCACGAAACATTAAAAATCAGAGAACCACGAAAAATCCAAAACTTAATCCTCTGACTGTTCAATAATAATATCAAACATAATATCGTTTGATTTAATTTACAAATCACCCAAGACCTTCCACAACTCAGCCTCTCACCACACAGAGACAACCAGCCAACTAACAATATTAATATTTAAGTTTATTTTCAAACTTCGCATTGAAGAGATGATATTCGGTGCATCTGGTGAATGAATATTCTTCCAAACAAAAAAAATATCTGTCTGATACAGCTGGCGCCCCGCATACGCGCAGTCACAACGGAAAATGCAAGCAAGTCGAATGTATATAGCACATAATATTGGAAAATCGATAGTACGACATCAGCCAACGCGTTTCTCTCGATACTGGGTCACTGCATGAACAAAAGACCTTCAGAGACGGGGCTGCACATACAAATCCCGCCCCCAAACCAACCCAGATGATCAGCTGATCAAACGTGAGTCAAGGATGTAACACGTCATAGAGGGGTTTAACCCTCTAAAGACTAAACTCGTCTAAATAATATTTAATAAATCAATCGACAATTCTGTATTTCTATTTGCGAGTCTCCTACGAATCTCGATGCAGACAGCGTTAACAAAGTGATCTTTGTCATGTCGAAGTGCTGTGTTTTCTTTGCGGTACGGGACACAAGTCGTAATGAATTTTTCTCTTAATGTGGTACAATGAAGTAGGAGCTTAAAATGACGATGATCTTCATCACCTCTACTACAAGGTTTGGATTCCTATCGTTTCATTAAGGTTCCTAAATACACCCCTCATTCTCACCTGAAAATTTTGCACAAGTTCAAGGGCACGATTGGATTCGATGCAAGTCAGAGACACGGGAAAAGCAACGTCATTGCAACTCCACTGCTATATCAAGCATACTGACGACACATCATCTGTTCTACTTGGCCTTGGGACTCCCACACGGCCCTTCCATCACGCAGCCCAGAGACTGAGACCCGGCCCGCTGGGAGTTTGTGAACAAATCTCGTATTCTTCCTAAACCTCTTCCTTGTAACTTCTTGTAGACAAAGATATGAATAAGTCTGTTTTCATCTTGTCGTCTGAGCACTCTGTCACATCCAACTCGTCAGCAAAGCCATGATGAGTTCAGGTTTCTAATTTATTTGAAGATCTCTGCCATATGCAGACCTACTAGGTCTATATCCTTTTGCGGAGAGAATGTGAAGATGTTATTCCAAGTCCTCTGTCACTCTTCTCGAATAACAGTGTGAAGAAGTCTGTGTTCTCATACTTTATCAAGTCATTTACAACTTCTTCCTTTTCATTCTTTGGTGAGATTTCAGGTTCTCACGGCTTGAAGCAGCATCAATCATGATTTCAAAGCTATGTTAATAATCCAAACAGCTAACACGTCACCGAACGTCACAATATAGTTGTTAATAATCCTAATATCAACCCGGAGAACAGCCTTCCTGGCGTTTTTGGTGGTTTTCCTCAGTATGTCGGGATAGTAGCCAAATGTGCCTTCTCACAAAACTGTTGCACAACACCTTATTTTTCCGGGAACCACTATAATAAAGACAGAGTGGTGGCCTACGTCATTGTTTCCCCATCTACTTACATTTCTCATCGAGCTGTCACAACAAACTCCGTGATTTCATTGTTCACATTCTAACCTAATTTTAGAGAACAAATTTCACAATCATGCAAAAAAAAACCAGCTCCATGTTTTTTTGTACAACATAGCACTGCAACGCGCAAGCGCAAACGTACTCGCTTTTTATGATCAAATAAACTACCACTGTATCACGTGACCAGGTTTAAGTTCTCTTTGTGTTACATCTACGTGTTACACACGGTAAGCACTAAGTACCAAATCATGTTTCTTTACAGTACTGTGTGACGCACATACGCGGTATTGTTTTATGAAGTGAACTTTTATTTCTTCCGAAACTGACCTTGGATTCGCTCACATGTCGTAAGATTACTTGAGAACTATAAAACGCGTATCACCGGCCGAAGTCGAGTGTGAAGTTACTCACTAATATTTTCATCTTTCTTGTGAATGTGCTGTTTTCATACCGATAATAACCGTCTACCAGGTAAGTAGGAAATACTGCACTACTGTGGTCGAAAAACACTAGAATGTTAAATTAGGTACTTCACTTATTTACGAGTGGTGCACCTGTTACAAATGGGGAGAAAAACGACTCTTAGACACATTCCAGTAGAACTTCTGACAATTAAAAAAATATTTTTTTTTCCGTTATGATGACAGAGTAAACTTTACTGCCGTAAAAACCTCACATCTCATATTTAAATACGTGATAGTTTTAATATGCTTAGATTTTATTTTATACATTTGTAAGAAAGTAGGCTGGTTCGTATCGTACTGACACTGTAATTTGAAGCAACAGATTCATGCCAACATTGAGCCTAATTAGTTGTTTGCTAATGATTCAGCATCGTTTAAAAGAAGCCCCATAAATGACCACGATCTTCTGCCAGTAGCATCAAAGTCCCTAAGATGTATTTTACACAGATATTATCTTCCTGTCACCTCGGTCTTTCAAAGGGTTCACATTCCAACACCAAAATTCTGTATGAATTTCTTGTTTCGCCCAATTGCGCTACTTGTTCAATCGTAACATTCCCTGGACGTAGGAGGGAACATTTCTTTACCACACATCAATCTCACAATTGTTTAACCGCTACGAGCGGCTCGTAACGGTTGCCGTGGATGTCTTGGCTATTCCGTGTTGAAAACATTGTTGTCAGGATTCAGATCTGGACAGTTCATATCGTGCAGTCGACTCCGTAGTGAAATGCGTTTTCAGTAGGATGTCCATCAATGTCTTAGAATTGGAATTTCACCCCACATGCTTGTTTGTCGATACCAACACATTGGCTTTCTTAGAGATGGCCAGTGTCACTTTCGAAATCCATTAGATATGAATCACAAACACGACTGTGTCTCAAACACCAGCAAATATTTCATCCAGAATTCTTGTATTTCATTTGTTTTACCTGTTTAATTCCAAATAGTTTTTCATCCTTTCATATTTTTAGAAATAATTTAGTAATTCCTTAAGCCACTTGAAAACAAGGTTACTTCCTTTAGATTTTCAATGTACTCATTATTTTATGTACGTAGTTCTTGATAGAAATTATTAATTGACAAAGGATTTGATGTTTAAGAAGAACATATGTCTTAGTCCCAAACACAACTGAGATCTGATCCAGTCAAATCAGATCATGAAAGTGATCCATAGTGCCTACCTTTATTGGAATGCACATGACCTAAATGTTTATGGGACAATATTAAAATGGATTTTAGGGAAATAGGTTGGAAGGGTGCTGGATTTATTAGTCCAGCTATTGTGAACATGATATTGAATCCCCTACACTTTGAGACTCCTTTAATGTGAATAAAGAACTTTGAGGTCCCTTAATCTATAAAAAATCCTTAAAATATGATTAACAGAATTAAAAAATAATTACAAACAAACTTTAATGATGTAGATTTCTGTCTTCTGGGTTGTTGCGCTGTGTAGACTGGTCGATGTTAACCAACGTTTCAGAGGTCTTACTGCCTCCGTCATCAGGGCGATTCATCTACACAGCGCAACAACCCAGAAGACAGAAATCTTCATACTCACTGCTGTGAAAATCTCAAATCTTACAAACTTTAATGATATCTATTAAGTCCCTTTTTATATTAAATTTCGTGGTTGTACTTTAATGCCACCTTTTCATAGTAATTTATACATATATAATTAGGCTAGCTTCTTCGCCCTACTGGGGGCCATGACTTTTTGCCTTTGGGATGTCATAATAAACAATTACGTGTTCCAAAATATATAAGTAATCAGTATTATAATCTAATTTGCAGCACCAAGACCAACAGAATTTTGAAATTTTCTTCAAGACAGCAGTAAAAGAAAACTGAATACAAAATGGCACTTGGAATCAGTTTTGAAGTACTGTTTATCATACTCTCATTACTTCTATGGGGTGTTTTCTGGTTCAGTACTAGAACTTTCAACCACTGGAAGAAAAAGGGAGTTTATTATAAGGAGCCAATAATATTCTTTGGTAACTTAAAGGAGAGAGTTCTTTTCCAGAAATCATTTCATGAATTTCATAGAGACCTTTACAGGAGTTTCGACGGACACAAATATGCAGGTTAGTGAAAAGACATATTAGCTGTAAATTTACAATTTAAATTTCATGGCATTTACGAAAACACAAAGGATTACGTAGTTAAGTACACGTCTTGTAAACTTTCATCCAAGTAACAGAGGAAGCAAGAAAAAAAAACAGTTCATTATATAAATTACAAACAACCGATTTATTAAGATTCTCACATGAAGATTGCTGTCTTCTGGGTTCTTGCGTCCTGTAGTCTGGTACATGTTTACTGACGTTTCAGACGTCCTTGCTGCATCCATCATCAGGGCAGCAAGGACATCTGAAACGTCGGTAAACATCTACCAGACTACATGACGCAAGAACCCAGAAGACAGCAATCTTCAGACTCACCGTCGTGAAAACCTCAAATCGTACATAAGATTCTCACATGTTTGTCAGTCGTAGTCTTCTGGAAAGTCGATGCTGTGTAGTCTTGTAGGTGGTTACTATAATTTCAGAAGATTGCATCACATCTTTAGAGAAGATATCCATAAAACACACACATCATAACCCGTAAGACCATAATCAACATCTTCACCATAATCTCAAACTTTAGATTCTCATACATCATCCTCAATATACCGTTACAGGTTTCTTTGAGGGCCGTCGACCAACTTTAATGGTACGTGATCCAGAACTGATCAAATTTATAATGGTACGTGACTTTGAGCACTTCGTGGATCGTCCAACAGTGGCATTGAGGAACTCTCCTTACACCCAGAATATGTTAATAAACATGAAGGGACAACAGTGGAAGAATGTCAGAGCCTTGTTGACACCCACATTCAGTTCAGGAAAACTCAAAGCCATGGAGAACTTGGTGGAACAGTGTGGACAGCAAATGGAAACATTTCTCCAAAACGAATGTAAATAATGCATCTTTTTCTCTTATTAGAATACTTTAAGATTCACAAGGCAGGCTATTTTATTAGTGACTGGATGACATTTTCATGAAATTGGAATGTTATTTCCTAAATGATACTGTTAAACATTCTACATATGACACATGTTAAATGAATTCATGAAGGTATGCAGTGCACATTCAATTGTCTATAAAATCTCTATAAATTTAAAATTTTCTGTTTTGTGTTCATCAGGTAACAAAAATGGCACCAATAATGAGAAATGCATAGAACTGGAGATGAAGGAATTCTTTGGTCGTTTCACATTGGACGTGATTGCAACTTGTGCTTTTGGAGTGCAGTGTGATTCTCTGAAAGATCCAGAGGCCGAGTTTGTTAAAATCGCAGCTGCCTTCAACGACATCTCTATTTTCAACCGGATACTAATTTTCTTTGTTCTTTTCTTTGTTCCCCAGTTTTCTCGTTTCTTCCCTCTCAGGTTCTTCAATAAGCAGGCAAGTTTAAGTAAGATTTGAGGTTTTCATGGCAGTCAGGATGATGTTCTGCTTGGTTTTGATGTGACATCTCAGTAGATGTCAATGTTTCCCAAAAAAAATGCTGGCATCTATCAGTAGAGCTTAAACAGCGCCAAAACCAAGAAGAACATTATCAGGCAAGTTTAAGTACACAGACTGTCACTGAGATGATTCTAAGCGATTAAAAGACTTTCAGTGAAAATGTCTTGTATGTTCAAGTACCTGTATAAATTTACTCAGTTCTTTATCCACATCAATCAATGCAAGTAGGCTTTAGAGTTTTTGTAATGAGCTCTTAATATTTTCATGATTCAATATGCATAATTTTTACAACTGTTCATATTTTATTTAAGCCCAATTTTTTTAAAGTTAATAAGTGTTTTAATCCTAGCAATTATTAATCAGAGTTAATATGACAGCCACTAAAAGCTCGTGTTTTGACCATCTGTGGATGAAGATAAAATCTGTCAAGTGTACTTGTGAACATTTTTATGAAAAACACTAATTCTGGCACTGTCGTCACCCTCGGTGGACTAGTGGTTAGCAATGGTGGGAAGTAAAGCTGGATCCCATGTCATTGATTCACGGCATGTAAAAGGACCTTACGAGCATGAACGAGATGTGTCATAAGCAAAATTCAGCAGCCATTTCTCACCCACATCTCTCCTGATTCTTTGCTACATGGCTCTAGCAGAAAAAAAAATCAGGATTGAGTAGAAAAAGACACTATCCCAGGATCTGTCTAGAGGGACTGAGGAATACCACAAAAATCTGTCAGGATAGCAAGGCCCCAAGCCAAGATCTGAACACAGGACCTCCTGAATACACAGCAGGAGTGTTGACCACCTGACCACAAAGTTCAGTGGTCTTGATCTGAGAAAGCTGTATATATCTAAGTATTTGATTGGGGCAAATATTTTGTCTTGTGGCTTGGACATTTCCCTTTTCTGAACAATACACATTACTTAATACTGATGTAATGTGTGGTATTAGAAGTACACAGTGTCCATATATATAATTTCTGAACAGAATTCCTTCTATTAAGAAGAACAGTGGACATGTGTGCGTAAGTTTCTCAACTCTTGGTGCAACATTCTTACTGTCCTAATGTGATTTCTAGGCAATGGCCTTTCTAGTGGATGTTGTGAAGAAGACCAAAGAGCACCGCAGACTACATAAAGAAGAGAAATGGAATGATTTCTTACAGCTGATGCTTGATGCTTCCGCAGAGGCGAAAGAAGAAGGTGGTGACGAGAAACAAGATGACGGTGTAAAAAGTAACACAAAGAAAACATCTACTACAGGTAATCACAATTAATTCCATTTTAAATTCACAAGAACAGTATCATCTCTCTTTATACATAAGTACATGTGTCAATTAAAGAATCCTCCAATCAAACGGCACAAACCACATAAAACATACAGTCTTCCAATCTTAATGTTACACTTTTTGGATTTTATAGTTCCATTATTATTACTCAAATAATTGTGACATGCAAAATGAAAGATGACCAGATGTATAAACAAAGAGGAAAATCTGAGACATAATTAAAAACCATTCTGTATTTACTTCACCAATTTCACAAAGCACTCTTATTCAGTGTCGATTTTAGTCTCCTTCGTTGTGCTACCGCGTAGTCTTATAGGTGGCTACCAACAGGTTAGAGAAATGCATTTTCTCTACCTTCATATATGTCCTTAGTCACTGGTAACCTACTACAAGACTACACAGCATCACAATCCAGCAGACCACAATCGCCACATCCTCACTGATGTGAAAATCTCATATCTCACTCACATTCCATCAAACTCTGTTTCAGTTCTGAACGAAGAAACCATAATAGCCCAGTCACTGTTGTTCATATTGGCTGGATTTGAGACTTCCAGTACACTTCTGACATATGCAGCCTATGAACTGGCTCTTAATCAAGAAATACAACATAATTTACGTAAACAGATAAAAGAGGTACTGGATAAATTTGGAGGTTACTGTTCATATGAAGCATTACTGGATATGAACTATCTTGAGATGGTTCTATTAGGTTTGTTGAATTTCTAGTATTCATACTGAAAGCCTAATGAACCCAATAATTCACTGAAATCTATTTCTCTTCTCTAGGGTCAGTGCATAGTTCTTAAAGGAAAGTGCAAGTGATTTGAAAAAGAGATTTCTACATATAAGAGTTAATTCTCTGAAAGTGGAAAACACTGCAACATTTTTATATAAATCAAACATAATTAAAATGCAGTGTTGTGGTTTTGAACAACGTAATTTAAACTTCATCTTTATATGTAACATTTTCACAAAACACTTCATTTATTTGTCACTGGTTTGCAGAAACTCTAAGAAAGCATCCACCTCTCGCAAGAGTTGACAGGTTATGTACGCAGTCATACACCATTCCTGGCACAAACATACAGTTACAACAGGATTCGACTGTATGTATTCCAATCATGGGGCTACATCATGATCCTCAATACTACCCTCAACCTGAGGTGTTTGACCCCAACAGATTCTTGCCTACAGAAAAGACCACCAGGTCCCCATATGCATTTTTAGCATTTGGATCAGGACCACGTAACTGCATAGGTAATATTTGCAAAAATGTTATACTATACTTTTCATTCATGAGAGCATTAAGTAACTTACGAATAAAAATTCAGGTTTCTTTGATATGATGATGACTGCAATGTCGATGAAATCACAAACATACTAATTATTCATGAAACTCAGTACATGAACCTTTATGTATGGATTACTGATGAAAGCATATGCCAAAACAGTCAAACATTCATGCGGAACCTGCTGGTTATACATGTTAACTCATACAATTTCTTGTGTTTCATTTATTAAAGAAATTGCTAATAACTTGAGAATTACTACTTTTACAATTGAAATTTTGATAACATTCACTTAAACTGAATTAAATATACCGAAACAAAGTGCCGAGGAAAAAATTAGAAATAAGGAGGATGATATTTATGGAAACAGGATCTTACATAATGAGCAAATTCAAAATATATACTGCTCAGCAGCTAATATTTCTAGGATAGTAAAATAAAGGGGCTTACAATGAATTGAACATGCAGCTCAGGATAATGTAAAAAATACACACAGAATATTGGTGGTGACACCTACTGGAAAGCAGCTACTTGAAAATTCAAAGAAGTATGACAATAATACTAAACTGGAACTTACAAAAGTTGGTTGTGAGGATGTGAAATGGATTTAACTGGCTCAGAATCAAGTCTGTGCAGGCTTTGGTATTGTCAGTTCATAATTCTAAGCATATTATTATCAGAGTGTATTATCAGTGATGAACTCTGAGGTTTTCTTTATCAGAGAGTTAGTTAAATTTCTATTGTAAGACATAGGCAAATGTTTGACTAGTTACACCAGTTGATAAATATTACATTTGCGTCAATACAAGTCATGCTGAATCAACTTCAGAGAGTGATGACAAAACACATCCCTGCTGGTATTTGTCACTCGACATCTAAGTAAAGAGATCAAGATATAAAGTCGAGTGTTAATATTAAAATGCTAACTCATTTTTCTTCTCAGGTACACGTTTTGCTCTCATGAGCACCAAGATAGCAATGGTCCATCTCATCAAAGATTTCTACTTGAAGCCATCAATGAAGACTGAAGTTCCATTTAAATATAATAAATTTTCTATGTTCCTCAAAGCTAAGAATGGGATATGGCTTAACATTGAAAAGATATAAACAGAAAAAAAGCTCTACAAGCATATAGAGATTCATATACCAGTGATGAACTGAAAACTCATTTGAATAGAATAGATCTAAAACTTGCTCAATCCATTTAACAAGGTTGTGAAAAAATAAGGCAGTAACTGTTTGAAAAACTTATTATGCATTTAAAGTGTTAACAATTTTTGCTCTTTAGAAAATAATGAGAAAATTTAAAAATGAAATTTGTTATATCATTTGATTTACATGCCTCAAAAATAGAACTAGTGCCCTACTAAACTATACAGATTGTGGCATGAATTCCATAAATTAACATGAACTGCACTCAGTTGAGAAACGTGAAAAATAAGCTTGGAAAGCTTTGTACCTACTCTCTTCACTCACACATGTTCAAGACAGGTAATATAATGGCAATATCAGTATTCAAATTCAAGTTTCAAAACATGCTTTATTGTTATCAGCTTTGGCATAAGTGAACTTAAGTGAATATGGAACAATGATGTAATGCTATTGACAGGAAACCTGAAAGATTCACAGAAAAACTTGTCCCAGTGCCCAATAAAAATCCCACAAGACTGCCATAGGATCAAACCCGGGTCTCCATGGTGAGAAGCCAGTGACTAACTGCCTTTGCTATGTCACAGCCTATGATAAAGTTAAGTTAGGTTTTACATTATGGATTACATGGCATGGCATAAAAAATCATTGTGAGGAATTATGATTCTTAAATTCATCAATAGGTACATGTGAACATACTGACAATACAGCGACCTTCCTAAACCTATGTTTAACAGACAAGCATCTACACTCATTTCTACTGACTATTCGATTGAAATTATACTGCTTCACATTGTTAAATAAGTAATTTACAGGGAGTGTGTTGACATGAAAACAACTGGGAAAAGTAATATAAAATTTATCTCATATAGGAGCTGTCAATTGAAACATACTGCATATACATTTAAAAACTGTAATTATGGGATATCATTTTAAAATTAAACAACAGACCTTAATTTGAAAACATACTTGAGCCAAACCCCTCTTGCAGATATTATTTAGGTTCAATGAGAAATCAGAAGATAGTCGCTCTATCACGTTTCTCTGGGAGAAAATGGCAATGCCTTGCACAGGAAACTGACAATATAAGACACAGAATTCTACTGAATTTAGGAAAGCAAACAGGAATTGTGGAAGAACTGAAAATTACAACTTGGAATGTTTTGGGAATATCCATCAAAGAACAAAGTTAATAAATGAGCTGGCCCTCTCCTTTAAAATAATCACCAATCCTCTATAGTTTCGTTATATAACTTTCCTGATACAGTATTAATTACTGCTGTATAATTTTTACAAATTGTAATGCCCATAGTGTTAATCTAAATACATAATCAATGGTCAGAATGAAAATAAAACGCATATGAAGTGTAAGAAAGGTCGCAAGTCACCTGCTCTTGTATATCTTTGTTTAATACATATACACCAAAAAAAAGTGTATATAAAAGTAATTAAAGAACTAAAAATTTCTGAACGTAACAACCAGCACAATGTAACTAGAAAAAATAGTATTTTATTAAATTATTATTTTACGTCAAACTCACGTTCTCCTAATTTCTTTGTCTCAGCTTGGGAAAATACAAATGAGTGACAAAGCTATGATAAGATTTTGAGGGTTACGACTGCACTTCAGTTCTGTGAGTACATTGAATATATTAAATTCCACACTACACACAAAAATTAGAAATAAACAGTACTCACCTGCGTAAAACTGTCAGCTCCCGGGTAGTAAATTTCATACACTACAGCTTTTCATGCCTTGTCCCTGACTATTTAAACAAAGTTATCACGAAACACAAATGACAAACACAACAAACTTCACAACCACGCGCTACTAGACAAAAACATAGGTACAGTGTTACCACTGTTGGAATAAACGTCACAAAGTGCTTTAATAACGTGTATGATCTCAAAATACGATAAAATTTAAATTAATGTTTCTGTATAAAAGGACAGAGTATTAATTTGTAATCATACGCTCATCGCTTTAAAAAAACTATGAGATAACTTAATGTATTAAACTGTCCATTGAATAACTCCTATTACTTCACAATACGTGTGACCAACTTGATATATTAACATTGTCATCTAAATTTCTTACTTATAATTTTCATTAGTATATCTTAAAACCGTCTATACATAAATGCATACAAAATTATTAATACGTTTCTCGGGAACAAACTGTGCTGGGCAATGTGTCACTGTAAGAATTCATATTATGAGCACACTGTAATATATATATACAATTCAACTATTGTATTAGAGTTGGTGTTATTTCTGCCCAGTGCCGCCAAACTTTGCAGTGGCAAAAAGTAGATTTTCTTTTTGTGTACTTGAGGAGGGCTTCGAATTTGTTGATATTATATTTCGTTGTCTTTCTGTGTTCTAGAACTGAAAATGGTCTAAAAACAAGATCTTAATATGTTAATCACGGACTGAGTTAACATAACCTAATTTATTATCAGCCAGCTGAAGAAACTAAAACAATGTTACATAAACATCTTGTATTGGGATGTTTTCTTATTGTAGGGAACATAGTAAGAAACACAAGTGCATCTGTTGGTGACAGGTCTCCATATTATCGATCATGCCTTGAAAAGTGTTCAAACGCCAACTGTACAGAAGGTGTGTGTGTCTTGCTCCATGTGTCTGAAGTTTACTTTGTGCTTCTTGAAAACTGTCATGCTATAAATGAATTTGTTAAATATATGTGCCTCAGTGCCACTGTTAAATAAAATATTTACATTAATTTTTAGTTGTAATTATGTACTAGACTATAAAAGGCCTGCTTAGCTACTAAGAAATTTATCTGAAAACAGAACCCCACATTTAAAAAATATTTTCAGGTGGTATAAATTTCCGTTCATCAGTTGGTGCTCAGGCTCAGCCTTTGTACCTCCAACTAACTAAATGGTCATGCCAAGATGAATGTCAATACAACTGTATGTGGAAAACAGTTGAGGCTTTC